TTGTCGAAACATTGTACACTTGCTGTTATGTTAAACTTATATTAAAGTATTGCTTCATTACTCATTCAAGCTGTCTCCAGCCATTATTAGTCTCAAAGTGGGTTCCTCGTCATCAAATTTATATAGGTAAACTTTTGCACCAGCCCCTCCACCATTTCAACATGGAATATTAGCTAACATGTGTGGAGAAGTGTGTTATTATATTGGAAGTTAACATTTTCCTTATCTGAAAATGTACTTCCGATAGATAATTACCTCTTCACACATTCTCATCCAACCTGGTGCACATTGTCTTGCTTAGTCAAAGAATAAAGTTATCACAAGTGCAATTGCATAGGGGGAGGTACTGCATATGGAGGTTGTGTCATCCACTTATTGGTGGAAGGCTTTTGTTGCATGATGAAATTATCATGCACCAGTGTAGTTCACGTTAAAATGTGAAATCAGGTCGGAGTTGCTTTAAGGCAAATGGCATGCAAGTCTCTTAGGCAGATGCATGAGGATGATAGGTAATCTGTAGAAAAGGTGAATATCTATTGGAAATACATTTTCAGTTAAGAAAAATGTTAACTTTCATGGTTACAGAGTTGGTGAAAATAACTGACCTTGTTATGGACTTGGTCAATTTGACCTAGTTTATGACTCCAAATTGACCATTAGAGTATCCATACTATAACTTTAATATGTTTTGTGTATCTTCACAGAATTTTGCAAGCTTTCAGTAAACAACGCAAGTCTTTTGTAGACAAAAAAGTCAGAATTTGTAATGAAGTATTCTTACTAAAAGTTTCTCTGTGAATATGTGGAGTCAAAGTGTTGACTACTCTTAGTGCAAAGTGATCTTAACATTAAAAATACTTTTCTTCATCTCAGAATTGTCAAATTTCATTTGTGTAATCTCTAAAACCTTATAAATATAAAAGCTTTTTCGGGAGAACTTTATAATTTATCTATTATATTCTCTACCCTAACTCTTTGCACATTCAGTCAATTTGATTGACATCATAACCACCATAAAAAAATATCTAAATTACCCTTTTTTCTTTTAGAATGATTGCAAATTGTAACAGGAAACTACAGTTGATTATCCTATATAGCTTAAAACTCATAACATTATACATTTGTTTATACTTAAATTTTATTGTTTTATTACCCTTTGAACTACAATGGCTAACTAATAATCCCACCACACATTTGAAATCACAGGACAAACATGCAGCTCATGTTACTGTATTGAATTACATAATGCATGAGCTATGTGCAAGCTACTTGTGAAGAATTTTTATTATTATTTTTTTCTTTGTCTTACGTAATCTAACCTCAGCTAACCTAATAAGTTTCTAATTTTTTACATTTGAGTTACTTTTATAATAATAAATAAAGAATACATATGAAAAACCAAGAAATAAAATACTTACCTGGGTAGTTGTCTTCTTTTTTTTGCTGTAGACTGTCAATGACACTGAACCCTATTTTTTTAAACTAATGGTTGTACTGCACTAAATATGTTTTTATTTAATTAATCCTTTCTCAACAGGGAGACATGTTTCACATCCACTTGACTGGGGAAATGCATTTATGCAACATTACGTATGGTACTCTGAGATATCCTCATAAAACCTGATAATATTTTGTTCAAGATTATAAGTATCTTGTACAGAGGAATGACATTATTTTAATAACATCTTTCTAATAAAAATGTTGTTTATTTATAATGGTTATTAGCACTCAATCTCTGAATAATTCAAGTGCAAGTTTATTTTTATTTTAAGCATAAAAATACTTTTTTTTCATTTTATGATTTTCATATTTCACTTGCATAACCTCTAGAACCTCCTAAATGAATATCAAAGTTTTTTTAAGTTAAATGTTTGCTTTATTTTTTCTAACATATCACTAACTCTAGCTACTATCATCAATGTACATTGCAATAAAAAGATTAAAATTAGGAAATATAAAAAAAAAAGTACATACCTTTTAATTTTTTGTAGAATATCTTTAAAGATCTTTTGGTTATATATATAATTTCAGGTTTCTTCCTTTTCATATATAGTTAATTTTTAATGTTTTATTTTCCTTTTTTGTCCTTTATTATTGATCTTGACAGAAGTCAATTATGCCCTTGGGGCATATTATAGTATCTGGCAGAGATTTGTAACCCTTCATCAAATTTTCGTACACCGCTTAATATCGTAAGCTTTGAGAACTGACGCAAAGTATGATGAATATTTAAAAAATGTTTAAACCTTTCAGTTGTGCATTTTAAAACATAAATAATACATAATTAACTAAAATATAAAAGTAAGACCTAAATACAGTTTAACTATATTCCTAACTATAACATTTAGGTAAGAAACAACTGTAAGTGCTATAGCAGCCAATAATACTACAAGCAGTTACATGTACCCTGTGATGAAAACTGTGTGCTAATTTCCAAATAACCATTATTAAATTATAGTGTATAATTAACTCTTTTTAATGACTATACATATTGGCTATAAAACTCAAGCAAATCTATTGAGGGTGGGCATGGCACCAGTAAAGAGTAGACAAAATGTATTACTTGTTTCAAATGCATTCATTCAGAGAACTTTGAAACATATATGTTAGTAGGTTAATTAAATGTCTTATTGTATAGATGTACATATACACAAGTGGCATTATGTTATTGAAGATATGGAGTGCCAAAGTAGACAATTTTCATAGCTAGTGGGGCATATGACAATACATCTGAAGTTTTAAGTAGTTTCTTTTGATATAAAGGACTAAAACTTGGATAGCATAAAACTTTGAATCATAACATACATTATAATGATAATTTCATTTACATACATTGATAATAAAGGTGTTTAACTAAATTTTGAATGTAACACAGTGACTTGCACAGAAAAGTGTTTAAAGGGGCACCTGTGTCGAAAGGATTAAATAATGCACCAAAGAACACAGAATAATAAACAAACAATGTCCCATTGCTATCACAATTTTTCTGGCTTTGTAACTATATGACTAGGCTATGAAAATTATACTTTGCCTAAGCGATGTAACATTATCATGAGTAATTTCATTAAATTATGTACTTTATTGGAGGGGGGGGGGATAAATTAAAGAAGAGGGGATGCCTAGAGAGAAAATGTCACAATTCTCCTACTAGGGAAAATTCATGTTTTTTTTTAAATATTTCCTTATAAAACTAAGAACTTATAAACTAATAAAATTTGGATTATTAGCTACATTGTTATGTCAAATTTATTCATATACCATGATAAGGAAGTGGTTTAATTACATTTTGAATGTAACTCACTAAAATCTCATGACATGCAGAAAACAATGCCCATTGCCAGAGGATTAATTACTTACAAGCTGATGTTTTATGTTTGCAGCATCTAACACTTGTAAATCCCAGGAGTTTCAGTGCAAGAACATGCGCTGTATTTTGAAGCAATTCTATTGTGATGGTGATAATGATTGTGGTGATTTTTCTGATGAGCCCATTTCATGTGGTAAGTTTAGATATTAAAGAAATAAAATTATGTTTTCTTGTGTTTTATGTTTAAAGATAAATTCTCAGTGTGGCCTGGATAAATAAAGTTGTGTGTGTTGTTTGTTTAGGCAACAAGATGTTATATGAATGCTAATTATGTAAAATGTCTGCAAGTTATCATGTTTCTGTGTTGAATTTACTAAATCTATGAAGGTTCTGCTTGCATCATTATGCACTGTTTATGTAGTATACAAAATGTTGTTTAAATGTGCTATTTGTTTTGTCCACAAAAATTTTGCCTGAGTGTTTCCTTTTCTTTTTTTTAACCAACAGAAAATCTGAATATACTATTCATTGCTTAGTTAACAAACTGTTATATGATTGTTCTATTTCTGTATCTCTTTAATCAAATATTATAAATATTTTCATATCCAGTATATATTACAAATGTATGAATGTCCTGTCTCCTCCTCTGTGTTGTAAAATATTATTTGGAAGTTTTGTTTCTGTATTTATTTTATAAAGCTTTAAGTTTGAGCTGGGTATGGCCTATTAGTTAATTTGTTTGGTAACATGTTGAAGGGTTTGGGGTTTGATGTGTTTGCTACTGAAAATGCTCTGCACTTTAGCTGTAGGTGCATTATAAGTAACAGTCACTTCCATTATTTGGTTCAAAGACTGAGAGAAAGCCCTGATAGTGATGAGCATTGCTAACTGGCTGCTTTCCCTCTGGTCTGTAGCAAAATTAGAAACAGCTATACCTCATTTGACTGTTCAGCCCGTTTGTCAATAAGGTGCTGATTTGGTCAAAATTCCAACTGATATTTTGTTGTTTGTGATATAAGAAATTTGTATAGGTTCTATGTGTTTTGAAAATATGAAAATTTATATGTTTTTTTATTTATCATGCACTATTATATGTGTGTTTAACATCCTTAATTGTTATCAAATTTCTTGTAAATGTTTAGTTTTCATGTTTAATCAACAGTATGCTCATATGTGCTGTTTATTTAGTAGAGTGGAAAAAAACTGTTTTCTTTCACTTTCTCATCAGAAGTGTTTGTGAATGTTCTGTTTCCTCAGTTAGTCAATAAAGTATATGAATATAATGTTTTCCTGATTTACTACTCAAAAAACTAATTTTTTCTTTGATAACAAAGCATTTTTTGAGCTCGGTCATTTTCACCTACCTTGAAACCACCTGATAATCATAAAATTATATGTATTATAACTTTTAATGTAATAAGTTCACAAAATTTGTCGACCTTTCATTGAACACTGTATTTTGTACACATAAAATCATATTTTTTACTTAAGTATTTTTACTAAGGATCTCTCTTAATTTATGGAGTCATAATCAGACTCTGACTAGTCCAAGTGTGAATTCCTTTTCATGTCAAAATTAAAAGTATATTTTTACCTTACAGTTTTTACATTTCATTTACATAACCTCTAGAACGTCCTAAATGAATATCAAAAGTTTTTTTATCAAATTAAACTAAGTATCTTATCTGTTATTTTTGATACCCTAACACTATATCGACTGTAATGCACCAAAGAATATAGACTAATTACGTGCAAAAGTAGACAAATTCACTTACTTCTCAAAATTTACCTGGCTTTCTAACTATGCGACAAGATCCATTACAAATTAATCCAAGCTAGTTGTTCGCTTTTCCACGGGAACAAAGCTTGTACTTTGAGTGAAATTGACGATACAGTGTTATACAATACGTCATTTGACAGATGAAAACCTTGACTTTCTATTGATTAA